TATCAGGTAGCATAGATTTATATCAGCATTGTCTCCATCAGCGATCACGCTGACAGAGAAACTGTCTGGGAAGGTGGGGTTCTTGTGTAGAACACTGGGAAATGATTACTAAGAAATTACTGAAGGAGAACCTGGCACCATGTCTGCTCTTCAACATTACATGGCTTTCAGGGGCACATTTTTTCTCTCCCCATCCCTTGGACTTTCTCAACGAGTCCTCAAACGGAGGTCCTACCCTACCGAAGCGACCACCACTCTCCCCAGCCAGCCCCTTGTGCCCCTCATGTGAGCCGTGCTGGGCCTCCCTCCACAGTCATGGCTCAGGGAATAAGGAATCGGACGTGGCTGAGAGCAGCTGCAACCCACACCTGCAAATCCAGTCCTCCTGCCAGAGGGTCGGATTACTCCTTCCCCAGAAAGTCTTCTCACTGGTTCATGGGCTGGGTCCACAATTCAAGATCAGCACTGGCGATGGGCTAATGGCCACCCCAAATACCAAAGCCTGATCCCCGAATCTGTGGACCACCTTGTTTGGGAAAAGAGCATCTGCAGGTTTGATTAAGTTAGGGATTTTAAAATGAGATTACACTGGATTATTTCAGTGGGCCCCAATGCCAGTACAAGCGTCCTTAGGAGAGAGAGGCTGAGGGAGACGAGAGAGACAGAGACAGACAGGGAGGGAGAGAGGAGAAGCCACAGGAAGACAGAGGCAGAGACGGGAATGATTTTGGCCACAGTCCCAGGACCGCCTGGAGCCCCCAGAAACTGGAGGAGGCAAGGAAGTGTCCTCTCTCAGCGCCTTGGGAGGGAGAGCGACCCTGGGACACCTCGATTTCGGACAGCTGGCCTCCAGACTGTGAAGAATAAATTCCTATTGCTTTCTTTAACCCAGCAACTTTGAGGCAATTTATTACAGCAGCCCCAGGAAATTAACACAGGGCTACAATGTTACAGCATAAAATCTCATTGAAATATGCAACATTGTTTTTACGCTGCCGAGTTACAGTCAAGGCAAAAGTGCCCCGTGTTCCCACTGGGCTGGTTTTGTTTTGATTTGTTTTCATTTTTGGTCATCAAGGAGCAGGTCTGCAGAATCTTTGGCTGAGGTGGCCTGCAGAGTGAAGAACACGAGGACTCCCACCATACGTACACACGAACAGACCCCATGACCTTGAAGAAAGGTTGTTTGTGCACGGTGCTGAGTTTTCAGAGTGTTTATTTCCCAGAAGGACCTTCTCTTCTTGGAGCACACAGGACACAAGCTCATGCTTTCGGTGTTCAGACCACGAAAGCTCTGCCTTAAATCCTAACTAGGACTGGGCCCCATGCCAACCGCAGGTTTTGATCGTTTCCATCTTTCTCTGGATGGAGAGTTCTGAATAGTCTCCAGGGGTATTTAATGCTGTGGACGGAGGTAAAAGGAGGTAATACTCTATTTTCAGAGCGGATTGGATCAGGAGAGTGTGCTAATGTACTATCTTGAGGATCACAATGAAAATGGGTCTTAGGAGACTACGCCTGTGGCTGTGGACTTGAGACTTGATTTTTATCTTCAATCATTTGATATCGACTTCAGGAAGCACGATCCCAGGAACATGTGCCTCTTTGACTTTCAAGACCTCCACCAACGGGAGGAAAAATAAAATGCGGAGCAGAATCTCATTTCTGGGCCTGAGCACAGGCGTCTTCATGTGATCGGGCGCCCTCTAAGACAACCAGCCACGAGGCCGCCGGCGCGGAGTGGCCCAGGTCTGGACCTCTCATTCCCAACACTTTCAGAAGCTGCCGTCCACAGCCTGGAGGAAATGCTGAAGGAGCTCTGATCCAGGGACCAGTGCCTGTGTGCAGCCAGGGCGCCAAATTGATGTAAAATTATAAAATCGACACACAGTGAATGAGACCATGCAGATAGGTGCATAAGGTTCCTCAGAAATCAAGTGTCCCCCGCAGGCCAAAATAAAAGAAAGAAAGAACGAGAAAGAACGGACGAATCAGGAAGCAACCTCACCGAGCATCCTAACATGTCTTCGGGAGACTTCATCAGTCTGCAGGATTATCTGTCTTCCCGCTGACCATTCGTTTGGGGAAGTCCCTGCAAACTAATGGGGACCCCCTTTGATCTGTATGATGGGGACATCACTAAACGAACCTGAGCTGGCCTTTGCCCCTTCAAATGAAAGCAACAACAGTCTTAACAGTGCTCCTAACTGTCCTGTTTGACCTTCAACAAGAAGATGTCGTGATCCGAGAGCACAGGACAGAAAAGACTGGGTGGGTTGCAGAGAGAATGGGAAGTAAAGACAGGACTGAACTAAGTTTCTGAATCTGAAGTCCACGCAGAGGCGGCTCCTCCAGCCCCGCGGTCCCACCTCTGGTCACAGAGACACCTGGTGACACTGACGATCGTCGCTGACTTACAATTTGTTTCATTTGCAGATAGTGGTTAGTAGGGCTCTTATAGTGAGAAATCAACAATTTTTGCACTTTGATTCATGGAGTCACGAGCAAGCTTCGGCGTTTTTTGCAGCATAAGCTGTTTCCTAGCCACACACACTAACAAACTGGACCAAAGCTACAGGGGGCGGCTCAAGGCTGGCGGGAGGGGAAGCGCCACCTGCAGACCAGGCCGCGTCCTGGCCAGTGCTGGCTTTCTCTGCTTCTCCCTGCCCGCCGCGGTCCCCTGGGGTGGAGCTGGGGGACGGGAGCACCTGCCCGCATGGGCGCCCTGCCAGGGCTGCAGCTGAGCCCTCTCCCACTGGGCGTCTTGTGCTGAGAGTGGAGCCAAGCGGCAACACTTCCCACAGCAGAGAGACGACTCAGAGGGAAACATTGGTCTCTCTGAGACTTCCCTCCAAGTTCAGAGCCGTGAGAAGACCCAGGTGGCAATGCCGTGCCTGGCTGCGTGCGGCTCAGGAGCAGTGCCAGTCTCTCTTTGTGCCTGATCACCTCTGACCTTGGCCACTGCCTCCTCCTGCCCAGTAAGACAGCCTCAGCTGCCAAAATGCCAGATTGTCCCCCGCCCGGCTCTCGGCATGGGTAGCTACACAGGGAATCCCTTCAAGGAACAGGAACGAGCTGACATGGGTGGAATTAGCCGGGTGCCTGGCCCTGCCCATCCGTGACCAGAAGGTCACCCGGTGACTGCGGTCTGGAGCCAGGCCGTGCGGGTGGCAGACAGCAAACCCAGACATGCCTGTGCAGAGGGTGGGGTTGGTTCTGCCCACGAAGCCCCTGGATGCGGGAGGCTGGGGGTGGCTGGAGGACCCAGCAACTGTGGTTTCCCAGCTCGGAGCTGCACAGAAGGCCAGCGGCTCCAGGAAGGCTCAGGGCCCCGGGCAGTCACAGGACGCAGGGGTCGCTCCCTCACAGGGCATCTCTGCAGCCACTGAAAGCCAGTGGGCCCTTCACGCCCCGACTGCCCCCAACACCAGGGCTTCCCCACCCGCTGTGCGACTCTGCTGCGACCCCTGAGCTGCCAGCTGCAGCCTCAGTGCAGTGCACTAAAGCGGCAAGTTCTGTCCCCACTCTCCAACGACACGTGACTCCTCGCTGAGAGGAGACCCCGGGGGCCCTACTGGGAGAGGAGGAGGCTGGGAGGAGGCGGGCATGCATCTGGCTGGGGTGGGGAAAGCGTCTGGAGGAGCCGTGGTTGAGAGATCCAGAGACAGGGTTTCCAGGCTGCGAACTGAATGCCCCACAGTTTCATCGCAGAGAACAAACAGGATGGATTTCCTCTCTGCTCGCCTCTGTGACCCAGGCTGCACCTGCCACATGACACCTGCCGACACTAGACACACGGACATTTGGCACACACGGACCAGCCTCGGGGAAGCCGGACACAGAAGGCATCTGGCTGTGGCCTCGGGAAATGGCGTCTCTCCTCCCAACGGTGACTCTCCAGATGCTGCCCCCCAAGGTCATGGAAGGAAACATGGCCTTCAGGAGGAAGACGACACCTGGGAGGCGTCAGACTCGCACACATTTTAGAATCCTCAGGACGGTCACAGTGGAGGCGGGTGAGGCCTCACCAGGGGCTGCGTTGCCCCAACATCTCTCCTGGAGCGTCTCCAGCCTTCTTGAGGGGCACGAGGAGCATCACAGGGCACGGGCGGGACTGTGGGCCAGCCGACGTTAGATGCTACCAAGTGTGGCCCACACCCCAGGTTGCAAACAGGTGCTGTCCCAGAGCAGGACCACTCTGACCTGTCCCTTTTCTGAGCTGCTGTGTGAACCTGTGACTATAGGGGACATGTTGTCCCAATTAAAAGCCAGCATACCATCTGACAAGGGGAGAAACCTTGAAAGGACTTCCTGGCAAATTCTGGAGGCTTTCCAAAGAGGACCAGCTTCACAGGCATGCAACCTGTGCAGCTGCACAGGAACCTCGCTTGGAAAGACCTGTGCTGGGTTTAATGCTCTGTCGTCCTCCAGAAAGTCTTAACCGTCGAACACAGGGCCCCACGTTGTCATTCTGCGCTGGGCCTCAAAAATTCTCTAGCCAGGGCTGTATCTGGATCATGTCGCTTGATTGATTATCCTGCACTCTCAGATCCCTCGTTTTCATTAGCTTTTCATCCCATTGACCAAACCATAAGCCTCAGGGCTGTGTGTACCATTTGCTGCCCCTGGTGCTTGCCTCATGCAGAACTGGGTATGCAGCAGGTGCGCAATAAATACACATTCTCAGACGGCCGTTCCACAGCTCCACTTGCTCATTAATCTACCCAACAAACATTTGTAAAAAGGGAGGGAAATCTGGGCAGAGTTTTATTATTACAAGACTGCCTTTAAATTAAAAAGTGAGAGTTGAGCTCCAGCAGCGAGTCTCAGTGTCAGGCTCTCGTTAAGGCCTGGCTTTATTTCTGCATCTGTCCCCGAGGTAGAACAATGACCATCTGACACCAGTGCACATACAGACCATCTCCTGTTATTTCCCATCTCCGGGAGCCCTGCTTGGGGCAGGGAGTGCTGATGCCCGGCTGCTTCCGTCTCTCTGACAGGCGTGAGTGACGCTGAGGCGCGCCGGCCGGGAAAGTCACCCCACTTCAGCGTCAACTGGGTCCTGGGCAATTCGGACGTGGAGATCATCGACGCCACCACCGGGAAGCGGAGCTGTGGGGGCTCGTCCAGGCTCTGCAAGCACACGTTCTCCACCCGGTGGGCGCGGCTTTACGGGAAGGTAACGCCAGCTCCTTTCACTTCCCTTGGGGTGGGGTCGGGGAGCGGCTGCAGCCGCACTAGGGCTCCGGCCCTCGTTACAGGCAAGGGGCCGGCAAAAAGCCGTCAGTTGGTGACACAGGACACAAAACTGGGTCCCAGGCTCTTCCCTTTTCCCCGGCTGCCTATGGACTTCACACATGGGCCCCAGACTGGCAGCATCAGAGCTGAGCTGGGGCTCCAGAGCCAAGTGGAAAAGTGGCTTATTCATGAACCCCTGCCGTGACCAGCACAAGGCCACCTGCCTCTCACAGGGAAGGCCCACAGAAACCTTTTGAAGTATTGTGCCCAGTTTGGAGATGAGGAAACTGACGTTCAGAAAAGTGAGGTGATTTGCCCCGAATCACACAGGTAGAGAACGTCAGAGAGAGGATTTGGCGGCAGGCGGGCATGCTGGCCTCTGCAGACCCTGCAGCAGAATTCAGACCTCTAGCCTCCCACACCCACCCCGCAGCGCCCCTGACTTCCCCCGGTGTGGGCAGCGAACCCCGGTGTGGTCCCCACCCACGCTGGCCGCAGGGCCTTGCTTGGCGCAACTCAGAAACCAGGCGGAGAACACACCTCTCACAGTCTTCCCCGCTGGCTGGCGGTGGACCCGGAGCCCTCCCACTTCTGCCTGCCCTGCTGAGCCAGGTTCCACAACCACCCCTGCCCCATCCCCACCCAGTGTGAGCCCTGACCCTCCAAGAAGAAAAGAACACACCCGGTGCCAGTATTTTCAGCAGCCTGCGAGTTCTGTGTTTATATTGCTCGTTAATCACTCGCGCTTCTTGTGTAGCAAAGCTTCCCGAAGAACTAGGTTTCCCTGGAATGACAGAATCACCTCCCAGAACTCAGAAACTGCTACAGTCATTCTTTTCTTGTTTTATTTCGTACGATATTCTATTTTATCAACAGACCAATTTAGGCAGCATAGATATTTTTCTTTTTCAACAGGTTTGTTGAGGGGTAATTGACATCTAAACATTGTATACAGTCTTGTGTCACTTAACAACAGGGATATGTGCTGAGAAATTCATCGGTAGGTGATTTCGTTGTGCAAACATCACAGAATGTCCTTACACAACCTAGATGGTGCAGCCTGTTACAGACCGAGGCCGTGTGGCACTAGTGTTACAGGATCACCATCGTACACGCGGTCCGTCCTTGACCAAAACGTCGTTATGCGGTGCATGACCGTATACGTAAGGTGAACAACATGATATTCTGATGTGTGTGCATTCTGAGATGACCACCACAATCCAGCTAATTAACACGCCCATCACCTCCGCAGAGCTACCGTTTGCGTGTGTGGTGAGGAGACAGAATTTAAGATCCACCCTCTTGGCAAAGTCGAGTTCACAGTGGCCCTTCTTCATGCCCCTTCTCTGTGTAGAGGAAGAGAGGAGGGAAATCAAAGGGCAGGACCAGGAGCTGGTGTTTCGCTCCTGAGGCCGTTCTGGCTGTCTGGGGAGGCTCCGCTCCTGCCAGCGGCTCACCTGGTCTTTCTCCTTCCTGTCACGCAGCTGAGCACGCGGGTACCAAGCCACGGAGACACGCCGTCCATGTACTGTGAGGCCAAGCTGGCGGCCCGCACCTACCAGTCCGTGAAACAGCAGCTGTTCCGAGCTTTCCAGAAGGCGGGTCTGGGCACCTGGGTGAGGAAGCCGCCTGAGCAAGACCAGTTTCTACTGACTCTATGAGGCGCTCCCGCTGTGCCATCCGACGCGAGTGAGACGGCTGGAGGAGGCGAGGCTGTGCGTGCGTGCGTGAGGATAGAGGGTGCTGATCGGTTCTGTGCGTCCGTTTCCCGCAGTGTTCCAGAAGTGCTCGAGTGTACACTGTCTGGAGGAGGAACTCGACTGACCTTAGGGATGGCTGCTTCTCAGACGGCTGCTCCCAGGTTGCTAGAACCAGGAGCGCCCCCCACACCCAAAGGCACAAGGGCAGCTGACTGTCTCCTTTTGGTGGGTCCAGGGGAAGTTCCGTGCAGGCAGAGGGTCTGAGCTGCAGCCTTGAAAGGTGGTACCGAGGTATTGCCAGTCAGAATAAACCTCAGGCCCCAATCCCTACGCTTCCCTCCCCGACGCACCTCTCGAGCAATGCGTCTGGTTCTCACTAGCACAAGCTTATGCGACACTTCAGGACGACACAGGTGAAGAGAAAAGCCATGGGCTCCTCCCCAAAGAAGCCAGTCAGAATGCTCTGCCATTTTCATTTAAGCATTTTACTCCTCCTCCTTTCGAAAAGGATTTGAGACATGCGATAGTAAAGAGCCCCTGAAGCAGCAAGAGAAATGAAGACCATTCTTGGAGAGAAGAGGAAACATTCAAGGCGCTCGTGAGCTGAGATCTACGACGTGAAGAAAGTGTCTCTGGACTTCGTTTCAGCTGAGGGTCGCACACGTCCCGTGCCCATCAGTCAGTCACAGCTCAGTCTCCTTGGCAGACAGAGGAGCCACGGAAGAAGTCTGACTGCATAAAGGTCAGCAACCACCCACAACCTCCCCACCAGGGAACAAGGAAACTGAGTCCCAGACCAGCTCCTGACTGTTTAACTGCATAGAAAGCAAGCACAAAAAACACCCACAAGACACTTTACTTCGGGCTTGAGGAGCTACTAGCTCTCTGTTCCTTTAGGTCCCCGATCACCATCTTGAAGGACAAAAAAAGGAAAAAAATCACTTAAACCGGCTGCAAAAATGCAGGATTCTGTGGCCTTTAAAGCAGCCATCAGACACCCGGAATCCTCCAGCACGAAGGTGGACTCAGGACCACTTGGGAGCGAGCCCCTGCACCGGGCCCACGAGGCAGGTGCAGGACCATAGGCCCTATTCATGCAAGAAGGAGGCATGTCTCCAACACACCTGTCCATCCAGGAACCTTGAATTGCTTTACTTTTATCACTGAGAACTCATTTCCAACATCCCTCACGCTAGTTAACAGGTGTCTAATTTCTCCAGTAGGAAGACCCATCTCTGAGATTCATTGTGCTAAACAGCAAAGCTCAGTAGTATAGCCAGCTCTGCAGTACGGGCTGCCTGGTTAGAGTTCCAGGTGACCGCCCACGGGGGGACATCCTGATGAGGCACAGGCTTGCCACTTAACCCAGGAAATGCGAGCATAACATCACACTGTATATACTCAAGCACAAATTACAGCTATGACAATGAGGCAAACACGAAACAAACCGAGTTGTAGATATTTGTTACAAAATAACAAGTAGAGACGTTAGTATGGAAATAGAAACTCTTCCTGGGATTTAACTCAAGGTCAAATCGCTCACTTCTTCTTTTAGAAAAGAAAATGGACACTGGAGTAGATGACTTCTCAAAAGTTTCAAAAGACATGAAAATGCTTTTGCGAATAGATAACTCACATTGATCTTTCACAAAAATTGAGGAGAGAAAATGAAATCTTAACAGTACAAAAGCTATGCTCAAACGGCCAATTTATATTAGTTTCTGCTAATTTGGCATGTCACCAGGATGAAGCTTAGAGAACCAAAAACCTGGAGAGCTGACTTACCACCTAGACAGACTCTCAACCGCCAACCGTCTGGAGCCCTTCTCTGAAAGTGTGGAGGCACAGTCCGTTCCTGGTTGGAACCTGTGACCTGAACCTTAACTTACTAACATCCTCAGGTGTCGCTTGGAGAAGTGTATATGTGCTGTGTATCATCATGCCCCCAAGAACGCTCCTCTACAATCAGGAGATGGCGTTAGCAGCAGCATCCTCACCACCACAGGAAGATGCGGGACGAATCCATCTACAAACAGGCGCAGTGGGTACCACCCATGTGGTCTGAGTCAAGGGACTTGGAAGCACTCCCCTGCCCAACAGTGAACACTCCCACGATACCTGAAGCACAGCCATTCAGCCATGATTCAGTCCGCCTAAGGCTCTCCAGAAACAACCCAAACTTCACTAAGATATAAATAGCTACTTCTGGAGCGCACCACACGTGAACACAATTCTACCCGTTAGCACCAGCGTGGGGATGAGTCTGTCAGGTCAGCAGGGGACTTCTTGGAAGGAGAGATTAAGGCTCCACAGAGAAGGTTTATGGTGAGAAGAGTTCCCGCTGCAGCAGGAAGTCCGTTCCAGAGCCTGGAGCTCTGCCGTGGAGGTGCCTGTCCCAGTGGGCAGGAAATGGATGGGGAGATGGGGGAGGCCGGGCAGACGATCCCAGGCTCTGGGCACAGAGGGGCAGTGGAGGGAGAAGGCTCACCCAGCCCAGAAGAGGCGGGGTCTCAGGAGTCTATGCAGGATCCACCTGCTGTAGCTGGAGGAGACGAGTATGTCAGCCCAGAGACAAAAGCTCCAGTGCGGCAAGCCTAAGGATCTCGCTGTCTGCTTCAGAGTCCAAAAGGTTGTCTCAGCTCTGCTTTAGGCCCAGTATACCCTGCATTTTTAGAAAAATCTGGTGAATTAGAGTCTTGAGAGGAGCCCGTCCCCACCTCACCACCTGAGGTTTCCGTGAGGAGAACACAACACGAGGAGACGAGGTGTCACTTAGTCACCCGGAACACATGCCCGAGCAGAACAGGAAGACTGACAGACATCACGTCGGGGGCTCCAGCCAGCTGGCGTATCTGACCGCCCCACTGCCCCTCTGACTCTGCCTCAGAATCACCATCCTGCATCCCTGTGCTTCACACACCTGACGGCTCAAAGTCCTGTGCTTTCAAACTCTATTTAGCCCTACTACTAAAGTCCAAATAAAATCTACACCATCTCTATCTGCCTCCAAAGCACGCATGGCTTTCCTCTCGGGGTTACTAGCATTGTAAGGTTTCCAGCCTGGTCTGTGGCCAGAAAGTCAGCATCTGACCATTTTCGAGCCCTTTCGCAGGACTGAGCCCAGGGAGGTCACGGGGTCCTGTGAGCTCCGCTGTCCACCTCCAGCACGCGGTTCACAGCGACGCACAAGAGCAAGTTACTGGATTTAGGGTTTCTTTCGTTTTTGTTTTTGCCAAGGAAAGGATTTGCGGGTCTATAACTGGTGTTTCTTTTCGTTCCTGTGGTTCTCCTGGGTTTGTATGTGTTTCTCGTGCTCTACTGATTTGGGACGAGTCTGAGAAATGTCAGGTTGAGTTACTTTTCAAGCAAACGCAGCTCATCTTTTTCCCACATAATTTCCTTTTCACAGGAAGCTGTTCTCATCAATAAAGTTAAATGCCTTTTTTTTTTTTGGTATAGTGTTTACCACGTCTGGAGAGCCATAAAGAGTAAATATATGGTATATCAATGCCCAGAATAGAATACAGTATTTTGATGAAATCCTATTTTTAGATTATAAATTTCAAGATGTGTCTATAGTATCTTGTTTAAAAAAATTAAAAAGACGTTTGAAACTTAAATAGACATTTTTAATTTAGGAGAACGTCTATACCCATTTTTTAAGAAGCCATTCTAATGAAATCATCTGTCTAATTGGCCTAAAATACAATAAATATCACTTTCTAATAGAGACCAAAGGGAAGTCAGGAAGGTCTTTCTTTCTGTGTCCCACGATCCGACTGCTGCGTGACGTCCCACGTGACAGTCAGCAGAGCCTGATGCTCACTCGCTGCTTTCTGCACCCTCCTCCGCAGCAGGGGCCGCGCAGCCTGTGCTTCAGGCCAGCATCAGGGGAATCCGCGGTCCTGCGCATTTCGCAAGGCTGTCCCAGCTCTGAGTTCTTGCAGAGTTCGTGGATGGAGTGAAAAGTTAAAAGCTGTGTTTCAGGAAGGGCTGTGACACCGTCAGAGAGCTTGCTGGAGTTCCTGCTTCTCCCAGCGCAGAGCTGTGAGGTGTGGGGTCACGTGGGGAGAGGGACGTGTGCAGAGCAGCCGTGGGCTCACCGCTGTCCGTGGTCCTGGCTGATTCCAAGCTGGGGCACTGCTGTTTCCGGGAACCCAGGGACACTGTTGGCTCCCGTCAAACTTCTCCCACAAATTCTGCAACAGATCAAGTAAAGGACAGTGGGGGAAATGCGAAAGCAGACACAAAGAGACAAAACTGCAGGCCATGGGCGAGGTGGCTGTGGAGAACAAATGGGGCCCTTTCAGTTCTGGGAAGCCAGACACAGGACCATCACCACCACTCTTGGCTTATTCTCCACCAGTGCTGCCTCCCTGGTTTTCCGTCTCATATCTTCCTCCCCTTCCCTTCCTTCTTCTTTTCCTTGACTGTTCTTCCCTCTCCTAGACTTCTGATTCACTGGCATTGCTGAGAATCAAGTCTCGGTCATGTGTCTCCCTGAGCTGCACTTTGCTGACCTGTGAATCGGGTCGATGCTCAGGATCAGGCAGGGACTCCCGATGTGTTCTTGTGACTTCTGGTCCAGAGGGATTTACTAGAGCCCTTTTTTGGGCTCCTAGAACATGTCCATTCAGTCTGACCACCCACCAAAAAGGACTCTGATGGCCATATCACTAGATATTTAGACCAAATATCCCCCCTGCAGGGCTGCAGACAGTATCCAACCCTGGAGAGAGGAATCCCCATTTCCCAACTGGTCGTTTCAAAATCAAGGTTGGAGGGATGAAATATCCTCTAACAACAAAGACAGAATGCCCTGGATCCAGGGCCTGTCTTCACACAGGTTCTGGATTTCTATCACTCTGCAGGATTTGCATCAGAAAAGACGAAAAAACTTCCCAGCAGTGCCCAGCTAATTTTCAGCATTTTGTAAGCAAAATGGACTTAATAAATAGTAATTCCTAAGTGAAGGTGTGTACATAAAAAGCATGATTGAATGGCAATATTGTACCAATGGGATGTACATTTGTAATATTTGTAAAAAAAAAATCCAAAACGTTAAAATACGAATTTACATATGTTAATTTGCCTCTAAGTTCTGTAAATTGCATTTCAGTGATCCTGATAAGTGAATGTTCTGTTAAGTGAATAAAAACATCAAGTAGAATCGTGCTCCCCTGGGCTGTGTCCTTTGTATTGAGCACAGTCCTAGGGTCTCTGAGAAGAGGATGTGTAGGTTCAGTTGGAGTCCACAGAGGGTCCGCCCACTCCAGTGCCCAGTCTGCGCTAGAACCTTCTCTTTTACCATGACTGCCTATCATTGGATTCTGCCTGGGTGACAGGCTAGCACACATGCCACCTGGAATCAATGTAGGTAAACTGCTTAAAATACCACAGGGCTGGGAGGAAAGATCCATGTCCACACCCTGACTCAGCTTCTCGTTAATCGTGTAGGATGAAACGAATCCCCCAGTGCACAACTTTGCCCCTCAATTTCTCACCATCAAGGGTGGGGAACACCCCTCACCCACTGCTTCACAGGCCACGAGGGGGAATTGGTGAAGTCGGAGAGGTACAGCGCTTTGACAACGTGAAGGATTGCAGATATTTAAGCTGTTCTGAGTCCTCCACCCAAATTTGCCATAGCATATGAAGGACAGGCATGGCTGGCAGTTTTCCTGTAGAATACTAAGCCAGATGGGTATTGGGCCATAAGAAACATCTAAAACATCACTCGCGGGTGTTTATGGCCTCGGCTCTACAGAACACCTCATGGGCAGAACATTCCGGAGTCCCACTGAGCATTTCCCAGTAACCATTCCGTCCCTGTCCAGGCCTGGCTGAAGGGACGTTGACATGTCACTTGTCACCCCAGGAGTAGAGAAAATTACAAAGATGCTGCACACAGGGCTTGTATGCTATAGTTTGAGTGATCACAGGTAAGATTTCCTGTTTGAAAGTGTTCTCATCCGTCAGTGTCTGAAGTTCTTCCACACATGCCCTTTGGGCCAGGGTGGGGATTTCTCACATTTTTTTCAGTCTGCACTTATTTCCTGTTAACCACAGTGAGACTCGATTCACATGAGGGCACATGAGGCCTCAGACTGAGGGTGGAGGTGGAGGAAGAGAGATTCTGAGGCATCCTTTCATCCTCAGGCAGTGGTGGGGGAGGATGGGCAGCTTCTCATCCTTCAAGTCCTATAGGAACCCACCCTGATGGAGAGGGTAGTTAGGGCCACAGTGGTGAGAGGGAAAGCACAGATGAGGCTCAAGGCGAATCTCCAATGTGTCAGCGTGTGACGTGCTCCTAGGTCATCTGGTCTGAATCAGCAAGCTTCGAGCATGCGGATGTCTGGTGGTGGGACTGTTAACTGGCCAGAGGAGAGCAGCTCTCCAGACTCTCTCTTTAGGGTCTCCCCAAAGTGACTCTCCACCAGTACCCAATGCTTGCTCTCACCCACAAAGGACCCCTCCCACTTAACAACCCTGCACATCCACCCGACTCATCCTTCAAGCCAGCAAACTCCCCACGGCCCTCGCCTGGGGCACGGCCTCATTTCTTGTGGCATTTTTCTTTCCTGTCGAGAATTTTTTTAGAAAACATGAAGTTTGTGATATACTGTCTCAGTAAAAGGTTTCAGCTGAGTGCATGTTTCCCAAGGAAAGTAACTGGAGTCTACTCTGATTCTTACAA